CTCCCCTACCTCACCTCGCTGATCAACTCATCCTTGACCGCTGGCCATGTCCCTTCCGTCTTCAAGAGAGCGAGAGTTGCTCCCCTTCTCAAAAAACCAACACTCGACCCCACTGATGTCAACAACTACAGACCAGTATCCCTTCTTTCTTTTCTTTCCAAAACTATTGAGCGTGCCGTCTTTAGCCAACTCTCTTGCTATCTCTCTCAGAATGACCTTCTTGATCCAAACCAATCAGGTTTCAGGACTGGTCATTCAACTGAGACTGCTCTTCTCTGTGTCACGGAGACTCTCCGCACTGCTAAAGCTAACTCTCTCTCCTCTGCTCTTGTCCTTCTAGACCTGTCTGCTGCCTTTGATACTGTGAACCATCAGATCCTCCTCTCCACCCTCTCCGAGCTGGGCATCTCCGGCGCGGCTCACTCCTGGATTGCGTCCTACCTGACCGGTCGCTCCTACCAAGTGGCGTGGCGGGAAGCTGTCTCCGCACCACGTGCTCTCACCACTGGTGTCCCCCAGGGCTCGGTTCTAGGCCCTCTCCTTTTCTCCCTATACACCAAGTCACTTGGCTCTGTCATATCCTCACATGGCCTTTCCTATCATTGCTACGCTGACGATACACAACTAATCTTCTCCTTTCCCCCTTCTGATAACCAGGTGGCGAATCGCATCTCTGCATGTCTGGCAGACATATCAGTATGGATGACGGATCACCACCTCAAGCTGAACCCTGGCAAGACGGAGCTGCTCTTCCTCCCGGGGAAGGACTGCCCGTTCCATGATCTCACCATCACGGTTGACAACTCCGCTGTGTCCTCCTCCCAGAGTGCGAAGAGCCTAGGCGTGACCCTGGACAACACCCTGTCGTTCTCCGCCAACATCAAGGCGGTGACCCGCTCCTGCAGGTTCATGCTCTACAACATTCGGAGAGTGCGACCCTGCCTTACACAGGAAGCGGCGCAGGTCCTGGTCCAGGCACTTGTCATCTCCCGTCTGGACTACTGCAACTCGCTGTTGGCTGGCCTCCCTGCCTGTGCCATTAAACCCCTACAACTCATCCAGAATGCCGCAGCCCGTCTGGTGTTCAACCTTCCCAAGTTCTCTCACGTCACCCCCCTCCTCCGCACACTCCACTGGCTTCCAGTTGAAGCTCGCATCCGCTACAAGACCATGGTGCTTGCCTATGGAGCAGTGAGGGGAACGGCACCTCTGTACCTTCAGGCTCTGATCAGTCCCTACACCCAAACGAGGGCATTGCGTTCATCCACCTCTGGCCTGCTGGCTCCCCTTCCTCTGCGGAAGCATAGCTCCCGCTCAGCCCAGTCAAAACTGTTCGCTGCTCTGGCACCCCAATGGTGGAACAAGCTCCCTCACGACGCCAGGACAGCGGAGTCACTCACCACCTTCCGGAGACATTTGAAACCCCACCTCTTTAAGGAATACCTGGGATAGGATAAAGTATTCCTTCTAACCCCCCCCCCCCCCCCCCCCAAATTGTAAAGTGGTTATCCCACTGGCTATAGGGTGAACGCACCAATTTGTGAGTCGCTCTGGCTAAGAGCGTCTGCTAAATGACGTTAATGTGCCCTTGAGCAAGGCACTTAACCCTAATTGCTCCTGTAAGTCGCTCTGGATAAGAGCGTCTGCTAAATGACTAAAATGTAAATGTAAATGAATCAAATGAATCGACCGAATCGAACAGACGCATCAGATGAGCAGCCGAGTGACCCCGATGATTGAATGCACGAATTGAGCAATCGAATCAAACAGATCGATCAGACTGTCCAGATGAGCAACCTGAATGAGAAAGATGAATCATCCAACTTGACCACAACCAATCAAATCACAATGGATCAAACAAAATGACCAGCAGGACGAACAATTGAATCAAATGATTTGAACAAACGGTTCAGACGAACAACCGAGTGACATCGACGAGCACAAGACGCGTCAAAACAGTCGGTTTAGTCAAACAGATGCAATCATACTGACCAAATGATCAACTCAAACGAGACAGATAATCCACCCCACTCAACCACAATGACTGACTCACACCAACCCAAGCAGACCATCCACCTACCAAGCAGATCTACTTAACTATTTTCTACTTATTGCAACCCTTGAGGCTTTTCATCATTTTAACATGCATTTCAATTTTCTGGTTCTTAAATTTGGAGAGACCTACTTGGTATTCTGCAGCTGAGGCCGGGCCCCGGATCGAACCACACAAACCTTATACTATATAAGTAAGAACTTTCTTTTAAGCGGCCGCTTTTGTTTGTATGGTCCGTCCAAGCCGTTTCACAACCACAGATGTACACCGTCTCTGGTCCCTGTTTTCAACTCCTGGCAACGCTCGCCATTTATGTCGTATAAATATTTGACTCAAAAGTAGTCAACTAAAAAATATCTCTCAAGAAACTGGAGCCTGTGAATCCAAAAATTAGACTTTTATTATCTAATAACAAAAGCCGAGCAGTTCCATGGAACGGCTGTCTCTCTTTGGCTTAGCGCTCCCTTTTATACACACACAAATGCACAAACATGCTTACATGGCATATACAGTTACCCCCTTATGGCAAATTCCTAACTTATTTTAGTTCTGCATCACCCTTCTTTTTCTACGTCCAGCTGTCACACAATGTCCACTCCAAAAGGTCATGAATGCTTTTTTTCTATATGAAGCCACTCATCTTATCATTCTATTGGCTGCGTGGCTCAGAAAAAAGAACTAATGTAAAGCATACTGTGTCCATAATAAGTATATGGGTTATAGGTTGAAAGCTTTTGTGAAAGAGCACATACATTCATTTAAAACACAGTATATACTACATGGCTATATTCCTTATTTAAGCATGCATCTGGATGATAAAATATCAAACATGTTTATTATATTTTACCTTTGGCATCTCCCTACATTTGCCTTAATGATACATAAAATCATTCTATAACCACAGGCTCTGCATGACTTGCATTAATTTTTATTAAGTAGGGCTATATGTTGGTTGTTTTTTTGAGTCAATTTCAATTCACCCCAGAATAATTTCTTACAGCGTGGCTCTTACTGCCCCGTTTCTAATCTGTCTAAATAAAGCATTGAACAAATAAAGGTGGAATCCCACAAAAAAATGTATCCATAGGCCCTAATCATCAATCAATATTTAGGCTATAAATCATTTGCATTTGTTAACCGTTGATTGTATGAGAAAACACAGTTGTTGTGTTTTGATGCTGCCTTTTACATGCACTGAAACCCCCAAAAGTGTTTCAAAACACTCTTAAAAACACAAATATTCAGGTTGAAGAACCACTTTGGGTGTTTCAGAGTACTACATTTCTGTTTTAAAACACATTCTGTGTTTTAAAACACTTACATTGGGTTTACATTCAAATACCCTCCAAACACCAGATCTCAGCTTAGGTGCACTTCTTTTCATGGTTTCATTACACAATCATGGTGTTTTTACAGTGTGTATTATAATATGCATGCTTAGTTAGTTAGACATCTCAATATGTGTTTCAACACAGCCAAAGAAAGACTGGCTTATAATAATGTTGTAACAGAAGTCACGAGTCTCTCAACCTATTTCATGTGAGGTTGTTGGTTATATTGCTACACTCAGGGGGAATGAAGAACAGAAACAAATAATATCTTCCCTCTTCATTCTGGCTCACCCCCACTCCCTACCCCACAACCACCACTAACTACTTCTCTATTATACTCTGTGTTTCTGTTTGTATAGCCACTGTCTGTCCCCATGCTCGCTGTTCACCTGGGTTATGAAATAGAGTTGTTTATTAACATGAACAGGGCACGTTGAATCACCTTGGCATAGAACTACATATCCCAGCTGACATACGGGGGGAAGCTCATTCATAGCTAGACAGCTGTTTATTTCTCTCTGCACAAGATGCATCTCTTTCTCTCCATCCAAATCGATCAGTAGATCCCAAAGAGTGGGTTGGGACCCACTGGTGAGCCACAGGCAGCCAGTCCCCCCTCCTCTTGGGTCACAGTGAAAGCTGTGGCTGGAGAATTTAAAATATATATTTGGTGGATAATAATCGATGGTTTGAGATCATTCGAATAGATTACTTAGAGGAAGGTTGGATAGAATGAATATTGCAAGAACATCATTCTGTTGATTTTCAGTCACAGAAAATTGAAAATTAGAATTAAATCAGTATTAGTAGTCATTTAGAAGTCTAGACAAGTCAATTCACCTTATCACATCCTGTTGGATATCAGAATAAAAAATTTAAAATTGAGTCATTGCCTCATCTTTCTGTATCTCACACTTGCATATCTTGAGATAATCTCACTTTCAAGCATCAAATTATTAATTATTCAGTATGTTTTACATATTACCATATTTCTGCAGGGGGAAGTTGCTATTTTGCTGATGGGAAGGCAAAAAGTCCAAATCATGCATAGTTAATCCTCTGCAAAGTCAAACTTTATTCAACTCTGCATAGTTATAGTTTAGGAATACCAGGAAAGACAAATAAAAGTTAGTAAAATAAGCCAAACTTAGCACAGTGCAGTCAAGGACCAGTATCATGCATTCACCCATCATGGCAGAGATGTTGTCAATTTCGAAGGAGAAATAGTTGTTTCCCTTTGAAAAAGACTGTCTAAAATGTTTTTGTTACACCAGATAGGTGATGCATCTTTTTGCCATTTCACCTCATGAGCTGGCTATCCAGACACTCCCTGTATTGCTCTTACAGACACACTTAATATCAAAGGCTTCAATTGCAATCACTATTACTGTTGTACCGCTGCATACTAGACATTAGATAGATGCGTAGACCAACCAGACCAACCATCCTAACCACCCTTCAGCACTGCCTGTCTGTACTGTACGTTTAGTCTTCTATAACATCTCCTTGTTTTTCATCACAGGTTCACCAGCTTCCTCTTCAGGATGGCCAGTCAGCGCTAAGCTAACTAGCTTGGTGTAGCAGGTTTGACTGGAGGAAGAGGTGCCAGAGGCACCATGGGAGATGGAGGAGCCCTCCATACGGAGGGGAACGCCCTCCTCAAAGCCGTCTTCCAGGGCAAGCTGCGACTGACCCGGCTCCTTCTGGAAGGGGGCGCCTACATCAACGAAGGCAACGAGCGGGGCGAGACCCCCATCTCTGCTGCCTGCCTGGCTGGTTACGAGGACCCCCAGACCCGCCAGAGGATGGTGCGCTACCTCCTGGAGAAAGGAGCCGATCCCAACATCCCAGACAAGTCTGGGCGGACCGCCCTGATGCATGCCTGTGTCGAGCAGGCGGGCAAAGAGGTGGTGTCCCTGCTCCTAGAGAATGGAGCTGACCCCAGCCTCAAGGACTACACAGGCTCCTCTGCCCTGGTCCATGCCATCAACAGAGGTGACCGAGACACCCTCCAGGTCCTGCTGGATGCCTGCAAGGCCAAGGGCAAGGAGGTGATCATCATCACCACCGACACGTCACCCTCTGGCACCAAGAAGACCAAGCAGTACCTCAACTCCCCCCCATCACCAGGGGTGGTGGACAAGCTCTTGCCCGTGGCCTGCATGTCGCCCTCAGAGGTGACGATCCGGACCTCCAATTCCCCAGCAGCAGAGAAGGCTGAGGAGGAGGACAGTATCTTCAGCTTTGCGCTGACATCAGCATTACCCCTACCCTCCACTAGAACACTAGGGGAGAAAAGGCTGCCTCCCCGCAAGCTCCTGAAGAGGCTCAACTCGGAGCCTTGGGGGCTGGTAGCACCCTCAGTGCTCAGCAGGGTCCCACAGGAGGGGGTTGATGGTGGACTGGAGGAGGAAGGTGGGGGTAGGATCATCACTGAGATGAATGGTCTGTCAATCTCGGGTCCTGGTAGGCCTCTCCTGTCTCGTCGGCACAGCATTGAAACACACGACCCCTGCTCGCCCAAACTCATTGACCGATCCTGCTCAGAGGACTGCGCAGCCCTTTGTAGCTCCTCCTGGGCCGACAAGGTCCAACAACACCAGATCCTGTACCGCAGGAACACCGCGCCGGAGTCTCAGGAAAATACAGGCGGACCAGGGGCGGTGGCTTCACGCGCCCTGGCTTACCCCAAACTTACCCGTATGGAGCACTATGAGTCAGACACACACCTGTGTCCTGAGTCCATCCCTGGATCTCCAGACTCGGGGCGCGTGTCGGTGGAGCGGAGGAAGTACAACGCCTCGCCCCTCTCTCTGCTCACCACCTCCTCCCGGGAGTCCCTTGAGAGCATCCCCAATTCTGTGTCCCCCATCACCATGCGCAGACGGCCCCCCGGCCTCCTGGAGCGCAGAGGCTCAGGCACCCTCCTCCTGGACCACATCTCCCACACTCGCCCCGGGTTCTTGCCCCCACTCAATGTCAACCCCCACCGGCCCATCCCAGACATCCGGGCCAATGGCAAGCCGACTTCCCCCGTCCACTCTGGTCCCAAGATCCTGTTTCCAGTTGCCCCTGCCTCACCCAAGAGAGGCCCAGACTTCAAGATGAAGAAGAAACTGATGAGGAGGCACTCCATGCAGACGGAACAGATGAAGCAGCTCTCCACCTTCCAGGAGATCCTGACAGAGAAGGTCATTGAGTCCAATGGGGACTGAGACTTAAAAGGACATGTGAGGGCAAGTTGGGGTACAGTGGTGGATCACATCTATCTAGTTAGCCCACCATTATCCTCAACCAGTGCTTAAACCAGGACCACTAACGTGAATTTGGCTCATTCAGAGTGAGGCCTTGTTCTGTGTCGAGTGCAGATGGTTATTTTTATTTTTAGGTGACCTATTTTTATTTGATGTGTTTCCTTTCTGTGCTGTCACAGAAAGCTGGTTGATAGAGTAATAAGGTTTACAGCAGATGTTCTTTTCATTTCTCCTCAAATTATTTATTAATATACCATTTGCAGTCAACAGAAATAGAAACGTATTTCTGGGTTTTTAGATGTTTACACACTGCAAAATTTGCACCAATGTCATGCCTATTGTTCAGTGTGCTGAAGACATTTTCGTCCCCTCTGAAATCAGTCACCCTATCTATCTATGACACTTTAAGTCGAAAGAACAAATCAACAGTAGAGATGCTAGCAACAGCTTACCTTGAATTGTCGTTCTGAATGTGCTGTCTTCCCGATTTTCAATTCTTGTATTAGCTACATTAGAACGTCAAACTACAACCCTAAAATGCTCTCATGTTGATGGGTATGTTTGGGGGAGAACGTTGCTACATTCCATGAAATGGTTTTCAATACATATTTCCCGAAGGCTTCACTGTCATTGTATTGTTGCTGTTATCTACTTTCACTGTATTTATTTGCCTTTACCTTTTAATCACTTGAGATTTTGTGTTTTAGAGAGATATTTGGCTATATGAGATATTTGGCTATATGGTCTAAATGACTTACCCTGAAAACTACAGTGTGATCAACATGTGGGACCCTTTATGAGTATCACACTGTAATAATGTTATTATCAATTGATTTTAAAAAAAAGTCAATTGAAGTGCAATTAATTTCATACAAAATTCCAAAGAAATCCCATGAAAGCATGTTTGTGTGTGTGAATATTGTAAGATGACTTTTAGAAGAGTTAACCCCAATTAAGTGCACATTGGTGCTTTGCCTTTCCACATGGAAAGAGCTCCTAGCACTTATTAACTGTAAATAATGTAAAGATAAGACAAACCTAATTTGCTCATGAAATAGGTCCATGTGCAATATGCTGTACTGTAATGTCAATGATTTCCTTCAACTATGGTGGATGTGAAGTTGTCTTTACACATTTACATTGAAAGCAATCTGAAGCACTTCTTAACATTTACTGTACACTGATTTGCCAAAGGGGAGGGTGTGAGGCTCACAGAACTAACATTTAAAGTTACTTACACATTTAGATTGTCACTTTTAAATATTTCCTATTTGTATAGGGTGAGATTTAAGAGAAAAAAGTTAGAAAATGTTTACCAAGCTTACAATGTAACCGCCTTTCCCGCTTCCATTTGAAATATTTCTGTCTTTAATGAAATAATGTTTATGTGCTACAAGGTTTGATATTGACCTCCTGTTGATTGAACTGTATGTAGGTTACTTGAAGTTTAAGAGAAATAAAAACAAAACATAAATATTTTTGTATGCCTGTTAGGAAATAGCAAAGTCAATTCTAATATGTAATCTATTTTCACGTTTGAACTTGATTGTAATTTGATTGTGGAATAAATATTTGTTAAATGTTCATAAGTGAATTATAACAGCCTTTAACTGTCATGTGTCTTTAATATGAGCTTTTTCATGTCAATTTGATATAAGGAAATTATTCATAAAATTGATAATACTGTACTTTCAGTATCAAGAATCAACCAATCTCCATGAATTTGGATATTCGTTCAGAAAAATGATATGCTTCCTTTTCTGGTGGCAAGAATCACAGGGTGCAAAATATGTTCTATACTAGTCTTAGGTATTGGGTATTCAGTAAAGGTTTCAGCCAGCCTGAATGACAAAATAATATCTTAATTGAGCAAAATATCCACCACGACCAATATTGATTAGAAGCCTGCCTGACTCTCTGCTGCACATGACAGGAAGACAAAGTATTTATTTTAGCCAGAAGTGACCTCCACACATTCATCTGTTAAACAAGATGCACTCCAGCACAGGTGGAAGATGTCTTCTTTGGCAAAGGCCTGGAGGAGGGACTTTAGATTGCATCATCATAGGCTAAGCATAAGATAACGTACAGTAACACTGCAATGGATAAAGGAGTCATTTGGTGAGGTAGTCTTCATCTCCATCAAAGCATAACTTTGGACATGGTTAATAGATGAATAAAGTATGTTTTGTGAAAGTGACAAACTTTCATTGGATCCCTTGATAAAGATGAGCAGAAAAAAGTATTATTAATAATAATAATAATAATACAAATACTGAGCTATATTGTATGCTCAAATAAATGGAAAAATTATATTATTTTATGCTTATGAAATTGCTCAGAGAAAGAAATACATTTTGTTTAACAAGTAATAAAAAAATATAAAAAGATAGTGGTCAAATTTTTGGGATCCCCTGTTTTGGCCATCTCTGTCTCTGGACTTGAACCCCATTGAAAACCTGTGGTTTGAATTGAAGAGGCTAGTCCATACGCGCAGACAAAGGATATCAAGAATCTGGGAGGATTCTGTATGGAGGAATGGTCTAAGATCCCTCCCAATGTGTTCACCAGGTCTTATTTGCTAATCATTATCAAGGGATCCAATAATTGTGGACACCACAGTATATGGCTAGACTAGCCTACATACACATTGATCAGGGATGTGAGTTTTCCAGACTTATTTGACAATGTTATTCAAACAACATCACTATTTATCAGGTTGCATCTTTAAGGACAGGGCCATATTAAGAAATCATAGTTTATTTGGCACACATGCTGCCCAAATTGCAGCCTTCCCGACTGTAGGCAACCGGTAACTGCCAAAATAAAGGAAACACTTGAGTATATGAGGGATACAAAGTTTATGTTATGGTGTGGGGTGCATTTTCCTGGCATGGTTTAGGTCCACTTGTAGAATCTATGCCAAGGCGCATTGTTCTGGCAGCTTGTGGTGGCCCACGCCCTATTAAGACTTAAGACACTTTATGTTGGTGTTTCCTTTATGTTGGCAGTTACCTGTATGTGCTTGTGATAACATGTAATACACCGTTTTTTAAAAGTTTTTTTACTATTGATCCTCTGTGGTTAATTATGCTCGTTGGTGTATTTTGAACACTGAGAGCAGGCTCCTGTAGTTGGACATTTTTTTTTTAACAAAATACAAAAAAATATATATTTTATTTTGCCTCTTGGGCCCAGCACCTGACCCAGCAATTGACCAGCCACATTGATTAATTATGCAGTTTATTTTATTAATCAGTTACCAATCAGTTACCCACGCGGGCTCCCTACCTCCTCTCCTCCTCCCATCTGACAATTAGCAGAGCGGCAGCAGGCAGCAGCAGGCTGTCTACACTCATTGAGAGTGGGCTCCTGAATCCTCCTGTGGTTGGCGGTTGCAGTAAAAAATTAAAAATATATACTACATATTTAATATACACTACAAGTCAAAAGTATAGACACACCTACTCATTCAAGGGTTTTTCTTTAATTTTTGCATTGTAGAATAATAGTGAAGACATCAAAACTTTGAAATAACACACATGGAATCATGTAGTAACCAAAAAAGTGTTAAACAAATCAAAATATATTTTATATTTGAGATTCTTCAAAGTAGCCACCCTTTGCACACTCTTGGCATTCTCTCAACCAGCTTCATGAGGTAGTCACCTGGAATGCATTTCAATTAACAGGTGTGCCTTCTTAAAAGTTAATTTGTGGAATTTCTTTCCTTCTTAATGCGTTTGAGCCAATCAGTTGTGTTGTGACAAGGTAGGGGGGGTATACAAAAGATAGCCCTATTTGGTAAAAGACCAAGTCCATATTATGGCAAGAACAGCTCAAATAAGCAAAGAGAAACGACAGTCCATCATTACTTTAAGACATGAAGGTCAGTCAATACGGAACATTTCAAGAACTTTTTAAGTTTCTTCAAGGGCAGTCGCAAAAACCATCAAGCGCTATGATGAAACTGGCTCTCATGAGGACCACCACAGAAATGGAAGACCCAGAGTTACCTCTACTGCAGAGGATAAGTTCATTAGAGTTACCAGCCTCAGAAATTGCAGCCCAAATAAATGCGTCACAGAGTTCAAGTCACCAACACATCTCAACATCAACTGTTCTGTCACGCTCGTTGATGAACGGGTCAGACCAAGGCGCAGCGTGATATGCATACATGTTTATTTGAACCGAATAAACACAACGACAAAACAACAAACTAAACGAAACGTGAAGTCCAAGGTAGACACAAACAACATACCTTACACGGAACAAGATCCCACAACTCCTGAGTGGCGCAGTGGTCTAAGGCACTGCATCGCAGTGCTAACTGTGCCACTAGAGATCCTGGTTCGAATCCAGGCTCTGTCGCAGCCGGCCGCGACCGGGAGACTCATGGGTGGCGCACAATTGGCCCAGCGTCGTCCAGGGTAGGGGAGGGAATGGCCGGCAGGGATGTAGCTCAGTTGATAGAGCATGGCGTTTGCAACGCCAGGGTTGTGGGTTTGATTCCCACGGGGGGCCAGTATAAAAAAAAATTATTCACTAACTGTAAGTCGCTCTGGATAAGAGCGTCTGCTAAATGACTAAAATGTAAATGTAGTGCCAATAGGCTGCCTAAGTATGGTCCCCAATCAGAGACAACGAGCGACAGCTGCCTCTGATTGGGAACCACCCCGGCCAACATAGAAATACACATACTAGAAATTACAACATAGACAATCACAACATAGAAAATCACACCCTGACTCAACAAATAAGAGTCCCCAGAGTCAGGGCGTGACATGTTCAGAGGGGACTGTGTGAATCAGGCCTTCATGGTCAAATTGCTGCAAAGAAACCACTACTAAAGGACACCAGTAAGAAGAAGAGACCTGCTTGGGCCAAGAAACACAAGCAATGGACATTAGACCGGTGGAAATGTGTCCTTTGGTCTGGAGTCTAAATTTGAGATTTTTGGT